GTGCGGCTGACGTCATGGAACTGTTCCGGGGTTCAGCTCAGAAACGCGCTCGGGAGCGGCCCCGGGCTCGTGTTCCATTTCAGCCGTCAGTATACCACCGTTGGCTCCACTTTCCCAAATCCTGCGCGGCAACTTTCCACCTCTCCCGAGACCTAAGCCGGCCTGAGGTTCTGAAGGAAATCAGTGTGTGATCGCTGGTTCAAGAGCCGGGGACGGGCCTGCGGGGACGGGCTGTCGAGGCTCTGCCCAGCGTGATGGTGCGGCCACGGGGCCATTAGAATGCTTCCCAAGGTCTCAGGTAGTGAGAGGATGGTTTCAGGCCGAAATACGCCTCATGGCACAGATAACACTACTAACTGCAATGATACTGCAAGCGTTATGGAATGTTACTGCCTTCCAGAGACCAATCAAGCCCTCGAAGTAGATGCTTCTTTCCCCACCCCACCCCCATTTTACAAATGACAAATTAAAGCCCAAAGAGGTTAAGGAACTAATGCGGGATCACGCAGCTGGCAAGTGAAGGAGCTATGATTTAAACTCTTTCCAAAACACTGCATTGCCTCTCAGTTTTCAAATAGGTACATTCCAAAGGTGGGGGCATCTACTGTCCAACAGTCTCCAGGCTCCTCCCACCTCTTCTATTCCCAATGAGATAATAGGGGAAGGGGATAATTTATCAGAAAGCAGAGTGAGAACTGTTTGCTCTTCCAGAGAGAGGTTAACTTAACCAAATTAAAACTAACACTCCTAGATTGTTATGGCTGGAGATGGAAGGGACAAGGTACACTTAAAACTGCAATAAGGAAGAAAGGTGGGAATACTATGTCCCAAGCACTGTGTTGTGCTAATGGTACACTTTTTTTTTTTTTTTTTACAAAGCTGGCAAGATATAATAATACTTATATCCAACACTGATGTGCCATGACTACTCTAAGTACTCTACAAGACAGAGCAGTGGTGGGAAATGTCACTTATTTAAACAACAGCTGGAAGTTTAATTTTGTTATAAGTCTAGCACCAACAAAAGTTTCATTTGCCTCACTGACTTACATCTCCAAAATAGGATCTTGCTTTTGACTGCTGGGTTTGCATCCTAGCTCAAGCAGCTTGTAGAGTGGAAGTTGAGTAGCCTTGAGTAAGCCCTTTGGCCCTGTGAGACAGTCAGTTGTGGGTAGTAATAATGCCTCCCTCACTGCACTCATGTGAGGATCCCAGGAGAGAACATAGGTGAAGGACCAGCACAGTGCACAAGCTTGAGTTGCTAATATTATTACTGTTTCCTCTCAGAAGGGAGGGTGCATTTTGGCCAACAATGAATAAATTGAGGTGAAGTGGAAGTAACAACGACCAACAGGGAAAGTGATGGTGTTGTCTAGGAGGTTTAAGATACAGGAAGACAATGCTGGGCAGAGTTGAGCAAAGCTCATTTCAGAGAACAAAGAAAAGTCTGACCCAGTGGGATTCTAGCCTAAATCCCTATGTAAGAATATGTGCATAAAGGATGAAATGATGGAAGACATCCCAAAATAAACTACTAACAATTCATTAATTCTATTGAGAAGAAAAAGGAAAAGAGTTTAAAAAATAATCACCATGACAGCAACAGGGAGCTCCAGGTTGAGCCCATGCTAGGGGACAGTACACACACACGGAAAGCAAGGGATGGGCATGCACCCAGGTATGAATGCCCAAAAGCAACTCAGACCTGGAAGCCTGGCTTCAGGCCCGCTGAAGGCCAAGCAGAATGTTAGACAATGTCTGAAGCAAAAAAGAACATGGAAAGCATATGAGTTCTCTTACTCATTTTCTAGTAGAGGTTGTAGAAGGGTCATTTAGGAAATGCTACTTGATCTCCGCACAACATCTTACGTTTTAGTGGAAAGAACACAGGATTGAGGTCTGGAGACCAGGATACTGGTCTAGCTCCACCATTAATAACTTGGGTGACCACAGGCCAAGTCCCTTAACCTGGCTGGGCCACATTTATGAAAGATGGAGCATGTTCTCTTAGGTTCCTCTCATCTCAAAGTTCCATGATTCCATATTGTAATGAAAAGTGGGCTGTTGACAGTTCAGTCCAGAGGATGTAGCCCCGATAGGGCAGCCACAACCTGGTTCAATGCACAATGTCTGCTGTGTTAAACTGACCAAAGAGAGGACTTGGCCCCTGTTTTTGCCCCTTATATACATGTATTAATGACTTAATCCCCAAATGGGATCAGGGCTTGGGTGGCCAAAATGACCACCCATTTAACTTAAACTGATGCAGCTGTCATCTAGCTGCTAACAAAAGAGCTAGTGCAAATTTGACCATATTTAGCAATAGGGATAATGAAAATGGGAGACGTGTTGAGCCCTTACATAGGCTCCCCACATTATCTCATTTTTGGGGTATGATGGTGTCATGGGTTCCAGCCCAGGTAGTTACTAGTGCTGTTGCCACTTGTGCCCTTAGATCTTGTCATTGGTGGTGTTTTCAATGCTGGGGGCCTTACAGAGTAGGAGCGTAACAAACTGTAGTGTGTGCAGAACAGGGCAGTGAGGGTGGGGATGTCTGAAAACCACGTCCTACAGGAGGGGACTGAGAAAGTTAACAGTGCTCAATCCAGAGGAGGCACAAACAGATGATGGTGTGAGAGGCAGAAGTACAGGAGTGGTTAAGACCTGAGCCCCTACTATCTGCCAGCAAATCTGTATACTTCCATTTGTAAGTTGTGTGACTTTAAGCAAGTCACTTAACTGCTACCTCAGTTACCCCAAATGTAAAAAGGGAGTAGTCATAGTAACTAACTTGTAAGATTATTATGAAGGTAATAAATGAGATGTATGTAAAAGCTCACCTGGCAGGTAGCAATGCTTAATACATATGCACAATGATGATGATTTCATCGTGCATCTGGTGAGCTGGCCCCATGGAAGAGGAACAAGGGTCATTCTGCCTGGCTTCAGAGGGAGACTAGGACTAATGGGTAGAAACAGGAAGAAAGAGCATCTAGTTCAACATAGAGACCTTTCAAATAATCAGAATTTCCCAATGAAGAAATATGTTCCTAGTCACCGGAGAAGCTCACTCTATTCCATTTTGTAATTGGTAACACAAGTCATAGGGATAAGAAACCATAAACTAAGAGCATCAAAGATATCAGAAGGTAAGCCAATATGAATGGCAACAAGCCGTACCTTTCCATTCCTCCTCTGTTGAGAATTCTCTAGAAGTTTGAATTTGTAGATAACCTTGAAGACCATGGATTTTGGTTGCATGCTTTTGATTTTTCCTGACTCACAATAAGCAAGATGAAGAGCTTGGGCTTTGTAGTGAAATTTGCAAACTTAGAATCCCTGCTCTGTTAATTTTTGGCTGTGCAGCCTTAGCTCACCTATCTAGGTCCAGTTTTGTTTTTTTTCTGTAAATGAAGTAAACTACCTACAATCCTTACGAACAAGGATCAGAGCTAATATATTTCTTGCTGCATTGGTAAACATTATAGCAAAGTGGTCTGACTTTATCAATATATGAGACAGGCAAATTCAAGCCTTCTGGCCTTTTGTACCTGGTGGGGAATGAGGGTGGTGGAGGTTGGATAAGCAAACTGTGCTACATCAGCAAGCACATATGCCAAAATTGCACTTACGATACAAAGACAGGCAAATTCTGAAAGCCTTCCAGATCTTAAAGTCTTCTACTTTCACAGGAGGGATAAAATAAGAGGTGATAAATGAAACTTTTCTGTCATTGTTGAGAATCTTTGTGTTAGGTTCTAGACTCAGTGTCCTACCAAATCTTCAGAATGGTTAGGGTCAGAATTGGTGATAATGAGGCTAGAATGGAGAATAGGTTTGCAATTGTCTTGTGAACCATCCCTAAAGCCCTTCTAGATCTACAGAACGTCCCTGGAGCCTTGAGCTGTCTTCCCTAGTGCTGACCAAGACTAGGTCTCCCCAATCTCACTACAGTGGCCAAAATATTAGGCCTGAGCAACTTTGCCCAAGATCCAGCTTCTGACAGAAGTAGGCTGGTGGCTGAGGGCCCATCACATCTTTCATGAGCCCCCACCACACACACACATAGAACCTTATATTCGGATGCAGTGAGGATACTAACAGATGACCTTTTCTCTCTGTCCACAGTGTGATGGGGTTGGGGTAGACCTGAGCAACATCTTCCTTGAAGGCATTGCCATTCTCAACATTCCCAGCATGTACGGTGGCACCAATCTCTGGGGAGAAACCAAGAAGAATCGGACTGTGATCCATGAAAGCAGAAAGGTTGTCACTGATCCCAAGGAACTGAAATTCTGTGTCCAGGGTAAGTCAGGCATGCAGAAAATTGCTCTAGGTCAGTGCCCTGGCAGGAGGGTATTCAGGTGGGTGGTAATCATGCTCTGGGGATATGCTGACCCATCCTCCCTGATGTTGCAAAGTTTACAACAAGAGAAGAGAAAATTAACAATAAGGGAGCCCTTAATGACAGTCAGTAGTCAAGCTGTGGGACTCCATGAGGTCAGGAGTCAAATACTGCTCCTGTCAAGATGACCAGTGTCCTCTAATAACTATATCCAATAGTCACTTCTCAATCTTGATCTCACTCACCTAACTGATCACTCCCTCTTCCTCAAAATAGTTGGCTTTAGGGCTCCACATATTCCTGGTTTTCCTCTTACCCCACTGGTTACCCTTTCTCAGCCTGTTTTGTTGATTCCTCATCTTCTCTCTAACCTCTTGATGCTAGAAGGTCACCAACCCTCCTTTCTTTTCTGTCTATACTCACTCCCTCAATGACCTCATCCAGTGGTGAGACTTTATTTAAATACCACGTGAATGCCAATGAGTCAGCACGTCCAAAACGGAACTCCTGATGTCCCTTCCCCAAACCTTCTCCACCCACAGCCTTCTCCATCTCAGTTGATAACTCCAACCTGCCTGTTGCTGGAGCCAAAATACTTGGCATCATCCCTGAGTTTTGATCTCACATCTCACATTCAATTTATCAGAAAATCTGTTAGCTTTACTTTTAAAAGTAAAGGACCCACCCACTTCTCACCACTGCACTCCTACCACCTAGGTCTGAGCCACCATCTTCTGTCCCTTGGATTATGGCAAATCCTCCTAACTGAATTTCCTGCGTGTGCCCCTGCACTGTAGAGTCTGTTCCACCACTGCATCAGAGTGCCCCTGCAAAAATATGTCAGATTATGCCACGCTCCTGCTCCAAACCCTGCAGTGGCTCAGAGTAAAAGCCAGAGATCTTCATGTGGCCTGGAGGGCCCCAGATGGCCTGGCCTCCCTTTACCTCCGAGACTTCATCTTCTGCTACTCGCCCCCCACTCCCTCTGGCTTCTCTAACACTGCAGGCTGCTGCCATGAACTGACTATTCTTTCTGCCTGGAACAATTAGTTTGCCTTAGAAGCCATCAGCTTCTCCTTTCCCCTTTAACCCATCAGGATATGGAACACAGCTTTCTAAGTGTACCCTTAAAACTACCTTTACCTCTATCCCTTACCAGCCATTTCCACCAATGAACCAAGTGGAGACTCAGTTAGAGCTCCTGGCAGCTCTGACTCCTCTGTAGATTGGAGGAAAGGGCCTCACTGATCCTCAGGGGTTCTCAGTGGACTGATGTGCTGAGGGAGAGAACCTATATGTGAGGGCTGTGGCAAACACATCACACCAGGAGGCAGGAGACTGGGTTTGAGTCCAAGTCCTGCCACTAACCTACTTTTTGACATTTTGGTTTTCTTTGCTATAAAGCCAGTATCATATATAAAAATTTGATAGCTGAATGGATAGGGCTGAACCAGATCATTAGTTCTTAAACAAGGCCTGCTTGTTGCAAATGAAGATTCCTGAGCCCTAGCCCAGATCTACCTAATTAAGCTCTGGGTTGGTTCCTGGGTCGGTTCCTGGTAATGAGCTCCCCAGATGACTCTGATGAACTGCCAGGTTTGAGAACCACTGACGTATAGACAAGTGTCCGTGAATCTAGGTCTGTCCCAGGCTATTAGTGATGTTATAGGCTAAGACTGGATGTGATCCCACCAATAGAAGGAGACAAAACTTGGCTGATCATTGAAGGGAAGGGGTACTTACTTGTTTTGAACCCATCTGTTAGACAACCAGATAGTTATATTCTAAGGCAAGGTCATCAAGAAGCATCATCTCCACATTTCCCTCCTTTAAGAGAGGACTCGGGAATTTTTATTTATCTGTTGCCCTCTTAAGTCCCTTTTATTTCACACAGTAAACTTTTCAATTTGTATAAATTATTAAACTGAATAATGTGTTCCTCCTTCCTCCCTTGGCAGGGGAAGTTGTGGGTGCTAGCAGAGGGTGGGGGAAGCACTAGAGATTGTAGAAAGTTCCTGAAAACATTCCCACCCTGGTGCTCCTACCCCAACCCCCACTTTGGCTTCCAGTCCTATGAGAACAGAATCAGGAGAGACTCCTCCTCTCCCCTAATCCAGGGGCTTGGAGAAGCTCTTGTTGAGGACACATTCTGGTTAGAACTCAAGGACAGCCTACATCTTCCCCTTACATATCTCACCATATATCTTCCCCTTCAAGCAAGAGTAATGTATCTGCTGATCGCTCTTGACCATCGTGTACAGGAACTGTCTTCCCCAAGTCCCCCTTTCCCACCCCAGAATGTGCTTTCAGAGCTAAAAATGAAGCTACTTCCTGTTCTTTGGAGGTCATGAGCTGATCAGAGCAGAGGCTGGGAAGAGGGCCCCGGCTTCTGCGCTTTGCAGAGACACCAATGTTGAGCTTTCTTTTTGAAAGGGTTATGATCTCATGTAAGTTGGGATGTTAATGGAGAAAAGCAAAAGAGACAAACTATTTAGTGGAAAAGCATTGGCCTGGGAGTCAAGGGACCTGGGTTCCAGTTCAGACTGTCTCTCATTAGTGTGTGATGTTGGGCAAGTCCTTTCACCTTCCAGGGTTTCAGTTTTCATTATCTGTAAAATAGGTGAGGCTGACAATCATATAGGTTTCTATAGCTCATAGGTTCTTTATGGCTCCAAAAAATTAAGGCATGGACAGGCTTTGGTCTAGGTGGACTCCTTGAACAGAATTTTACGGCCAGTTTCTTCCTTCTTTCAGTGTGTTTTGTCCCAGTTTATAGGCCAGCAGCTGAGAAGGCAAGGATCTCTCTCTGCAGGCTCTTCATTTGTTCAGATTCTTTACTCTTGGCAATTTCACTGGGATTGGAGATGAGGGAGAATTCAGGAGAGGGTAGGAATTCAGGAGGAGGGAAGGAATTTATCATAGGAAATGTAAGAGGAAATGACAATAGAAGGGGTTACTGTCAAATCTTTCTTATCACAAATCTGCCTTTCTCCTTGGAAAAGCAATCCAAGAAAGAAGGTCATTCAAGTTTACCATGGAATGAATTCTATAAGAAATTGGCTTATTAAAAAGCAATACATGGAACTTGAAAAAACACCAAACAGTTCAATGACCTGGGTTTACATTTATACTTTATAGTTTTATAAACCTTGGGAAGTGACCTCACCTCCCTGAGTCACAGCTTCCTCATCTATAAAATGGGCATAATACCACCTAGCTTTTTATGAAATGGTGGATATAAAAGTGCCTGGAACAAAGTTTAAGCTAGAACTTTTTTTTTTTAAATCCTCAACTGAGGATATTTTTTTCCATTGCTTTTCAGAGAAAGTGGAAGGGGGAGAGAGGGAGAGAGAGAGAGAGATGTGAGAGAGACACATCAATTGGTTGCCTCCCATACATGCCCTGACCAGGGCTGGGGATCGAATTTGCAACTGAGGTGCATGCCCTTGCCCCAGAATCCAACCTAGCACCCTTCAGTCCATGGGCTGACGCTCTAACCACTTAACCAAACCAGCTAGGGCTAAGCTCGAACTTTTAAAAAAAAATCCCCCTCACCTTTAATCCTGTTACATGCTGGAGCATGCCAGTTGAATTGCTGATTTTGAAGTTTTTATCTTTGTCATTGCCATCTACCTGCACTATCACTAAGAAAAAGCAGAGCTCTTGCCAAACTCCAACCAGCCTTTGTCCTAGCACAGCCTTTGTCCTGAGGGTATTAAACTCATACCATCAATTGTGCTGCACCCACTGTCTCCTTTCCTGGACCTTTCAAATTCCAAGGATGGAAGATGAACATTATTCATATTTATATTCCCAATTCCTCATCCAGTGTAGTTAGTCAAAAAAAGGTTGTTGGATAAATGAGAAGTACATAGATATTGGTTCTTTATAGTTTTTATAACACTGATAATAGTGACAGTCTCTTTTGTTTGTATTTCATTTTGGCTTGTAAACAGTTTTGCATATATTAACTTAATGTAATGCTAACCAGAAACCCGTGAGCAAGGGTATACCCACTCCCATCTATATTCCTGTTTCATATAGGGGGCAAACAGAAGCCTAGAGCAGGGGTAGGACTAATATAATTTATGTCGAGTGGTGGCATCAAAACCAAGTTGATGATTTCTAGCCTAGCCCTAAGTGGCTAGTATCCAACTAGAAAATATATTTGAGGCCCTACTGTGTGGATTCCACAAGACAGGTACTCAAAAAATAGGTAGGAAGAATTTATAATCCAGTCGAGGGAAGGCTCCATATATACTTATTGAAATTCTGCTCCTCCTGCAAGGCCTACTTCAAGGGCCCTCTCCTTCCTGGGGCCTCTGGAAGTGAGTCCAGCCTCTGAATTCCTAGTGCATTTAATTCTGCCTCTGTCTTGACAGCATACTGGTGATGGGTTGCCCTGCTCCATAGGCATGTCTATTCTTTCATATCTTCTGCCAGTACCTGGAAAATGGGGAACATGTGTTCATCTTTGTGTTCCCTTCAAAACCTAACATCTTACTTGGCTCATGTTGTTCTACAGAAATGTTTGTTTTGTTGGAAGGAAGGGGAGAGGGAAAAAGAATCTTGCCTTTGGCCTGCCAGCACAGTGGGCAGTAGATTCTGGAGCTGGACAAGAACAGGCACTGAGTGAAAAATCTTGGGGGGAAAAAATAGTCTCATAAAAGAGTTATATATGAGTATTAGTGAGGCTGTGAATTTTGTTTCATGGAACCATTAGAAACTCCTTTGATAAGAGATGTCCTGGCTATTTTCAAATAAGTAATTCAAATATAACTTAGAGGACCTGTACTTGAGAGTCAGTGTAGAGTAAGGGACAGAACATTAAACTAGAAGTGAGAAGACTGAGGCCTTCTCACCACCCACCATGTGACGCTGGTTGAGTCATTGAACCTTTCCCCTGAACCCTTGTTACAAAATGGAAACAATTATAGTCTCTCTCCCTCAGCATTATTTGA